TGGCAGCAATGCAGATGATGATGTTAGCATCGGCATGCACCGAAAGTTCTTTGATCCAATTTTTCACTGCAGCAAACGACTGCTACTTGTTCCATTAATATTATTATCACTTATGTTATTAGTAGTAATAGTAGGAGAATGAATGAATGAATAAATGAATGAATAAATGAATGAATTAAACCTCTTTTGTTACATCGAACACCACAATGGCAGCTGCAGCTCCTCTATAATACATAGGAGCCAAAGATTTGTACTGTGTGATCATCATCATCATCGTCATCATCATCCTTATCGTTAACAAAATTAAACAATATAAGTTAAATAAAATTAACTTTCTCTTGGCCGGCAGTGTCCCATATTTGAAACTTGCAGACAAACTCATCAACAGACACACATTTTGTCCAAAATGCTGCTCTGTTTAAATTGATGGAGTTGAAAAATTTTTCTCTATAATTAAACAAATACAATCTAAATTTATAAATGAAAATTAATTGATCAAAAATTATTATAGTTAAATATTATTAAAATTAAATTTAACAAAAAATATAATTAAAAATATAATTAAAAAATATAGATAATAAATAAATAAATACCCCATGGTCATCTCAATGGTTGGTCTGAATGTTTCATATACAAATTGATGGACTATGCTTGACTTTCCAACATTTGAATCCTAAAAAAATATTAAATTGTGATAAAATAAACAAATTAATGATTAATAAAAAATTTAAAAAAATAAAACATAAAAACTCCATTATTACAAATATCATGTCAGATATCTCAATATGATAGAAATTTAAGCAAACATTAATATGATTAACAACCCAATAATTAATAAAACAGAATGCCGAATAGAATAGTAATGAATCACTTTTTAAAATATAACTAAATATAAAATAAATATTGAAAATACTGATTAATAATAAATTTTATATTTGAATGAAGTTAAAATTTATTGATAATAAATTAGCAACTTTTAAACGTGAGGGGCCCTTTCACAAACCCAACCCAACACTAACTCCTAACAAGCAGAGCTTCACTTCCCTAACAAAATTCATTTTGTTCATTTTTTCAGGATGTGGTCAGTGGACGTCGGTTATGGTTATTTTATCCTTTATTGGATATTCTATTTTTTATTTAATAAAAGTTGTCGCACCTCTTAAATTTAATATGGTATCATTAAAGGGCTTAAAGGCCCATATCAATAAATTCATCCTCATTCAATTAACTAACGACCAGTTTCCACAATTAGTAAATTAGTAGGAAAAACATTAAAGTTTATTTTTCAGTTTGCAAAAAATTTAAAAATAATTGTTAGGATAAATGAAATACATAAAAAAAGAAATATAGCTAGTTTGGTAACGGGAGCACTTAGGATTCATAAGAATTAATTTGTACTTTGTAGGTACAACTTTTGTACAATCGCTCAATATCGATTTAAAATTTAACAAGTTACCATCGAAAGTAAGTGCTAAAAAATTTAAGTTTTGCTATTTGTAACTTGAATTCATTTTTAGTTTACCTGAAATTTTAGGCCGTTCTCCGGTTTTCACATTTTCTCCCGCCAGCCTTCCGACAACTGGGTGTTTAGTTGAAAAAATTACCACAACGAAGAAATGTTCACCTCAAAATTTATTGACACCGAACACAAAGACCTCGTTCACGACGTCGCTTACGACTTGCATGGAAAAAGGATGGCGACCAGTTCCTGTGACCAATATGTCAAGGTCCTTCTTTTCAGATTATCTTTTAAATTTAAGTTTTAAATTGTTCAATTTTCGGTTTCGCTAATTTATTCATTTTTACAACAAAATTTTTGCAGCAATCAATATAATAATTTAACTATTTTCTCCCACATCAACATGCACATGCTACCTACATTCAATACATGACATGAAACATTGTAAAAAATAAAGATCTGGGACCTGGTTGATGATGAATGGAGGTTCTCCACGTCTTTCAAAGTTTGTTTGCCACAACATTTTTTCATTCGCTATGAATACTTTAATCCTTTATTGAATTTATTCACTATCATATTTTATTAGTAGTATAATATAATTACAATTTTATATGAAACTGTGGAATGTCATTTGTTGGTTGAAACTTTTTTAAAAATTTTTTAATTCATAATTTCAATTGTAAATGAGTTGATAATTATATTTTCAAATTAAATAAGGCGCATAATGGGATAGTTTGGAAGGCTATATGGGCATACCCAGAGTTTGGTCCAGTCCTTGCTACCTGCTCAAATGACAAAACAGTAGCCATCTGGGAAGAAATTAGTTAGCTCTTCTATTTTGCATTTATTAAACTTTCTGTATACCACACCTCACAAAAACATCTTTAATTTACAAGTATTGCCTTATCAGATTATTGAATTGAAAAAAATGGAATGTTATGGAAAAGAGAAAGGCCAAAATATGATGTACATTTAAATTGCAGTGAATGATGACCCCCAACAAGATGGCGGCCAGTGGATGAAAAGGGGGAACCTGGTCGACAGCAAATCTCCGATTGTTGATGTCAAATTTTCACCAAGACATTTTGGCTTAAAACTGGTTAACTATCATTTCTTGCAATCTTAATTTTTAGTAGTCTCAACATTTTGTTTTGATTTGATTAATTTCAAAATAGTTCTGAACATCATCCATAGTTTGTATAAGCTCATTGTTTTAGAATATCTCGCTTAAAAAATAACTGTCACCAAAACTCCTTGTATTAGAACATTGAAATTGAAATCAGGCAATGGTATCCATAGATGGAAACACTCGAGTCTACGAAGCACAGGATACGATGAACTTGTGTCAGTGGACCTTGCAAGGGGAGATACAATGCAAATATAACTGCAGCTGTTTGGACTGGAGCCCCTCTCGGTCTGCTCATTAACATAATTTATTCATTCAATGTTATTCTGTTTATTCAAAAATATGATCGTTTCCAGTTTATGTGTACTTATCTTATATTTGTTATTCAACTTATTAATTTATTCAGGTTATATCCACCTCTCCTTCTGATTGGCTGCGACGATACATCACCTCCTTCAACATCTGCACCGGCTAACCTTCTTATCTACGAACATAATGATGCTTTGAAGTTCATTCATTCTTTCAATCTTAATTTATTCTTTCATTAATTTTTTCATTCAATCCTTTTTATCTAACATTAGCACACCTAATAAACATGTCAAAAACAACTACATCAGCACATTTTTAGCCAACATTACAATCACATCAACCTCACAGTTGCACTTACATTACAATTACAGCATTAATTAATTAATATTAAAACAAAACTACAGAGCCTGGGTAAAGATTGAAATGAGTCGAACGGTGTCAAGCCGGGTCCGGGACATCTCTTTCAGTCCTAATTTAGGCAGGTCCCATGATTTAGTGGCCGTCGCAGGTACCCAACTGGTCATACTGCAAATTATAAGGACCAAGAATGTCAATAGGTGAGTGTGTGTGAGTGAGAGAGAGGCGAGAGAGGAAGATAGAGAGAGAGAGAGAAGCGAGGGAGAGAGAAAATGATATGCTTATTGGCAAAATAATTAAAATGGTTTTATTTGTTAATTTTTCTAATGCTCATAAGTGACTTCCATCAATCTTCTAAATATATTATTCTATATTAGGTTAATGACTAAATTAAGCTAATAAATCTAAGGATTGGCATATGTTAATAACCTCACAAGGAATGGCCAATCAGAAACTTCCAGATTTGAGGTTCACTTTGTAGCTGAGTTCAGTGAGCCTGATTCACAAGTACACTCTTGATTTATTAACAGTGCTTTTTATCTAAGACATTTCAAGCATTTTAATAATTTTTACAAAAATTATTAATTTTTTTATAACAAATTATAAAATTATCATAATTTATTATAAGATATGGAGACTGGCATGGAACCTTACTGGAACGGTACTCGCATCATCTGCTGATGATGGCACTGTTAAGCTTTGGAAAGGTAGTGGTGAGGACAACCAGGATGGTGATAATGATGGTGGTGGTGATCACGATGATGATAATCAAAACGATGATTATGATCCTAATGGGATGATAATTGTTGAGATGTAACTGAACGTGTAATTAAAAAATTTTCAAAAACGGTTGAGAAATATAAAAGCCACCATTCATGTCATTGCTTATATTACTGCCATCACCTCAATAACATCACAACAATAACAACACCACCGTCAATCAAAACAACACCAACACACAGGCAACCAGATGGATGCTTGGAAGTGCATATCAGTGGTGAAACCTTCACAAGTTGGCGTGAAACTATTCCCAGCAACAGTTCAACATCAGCTGCAGCAACTGGAGCAACAACAAGATCAGGAGCAGCAGCAGCAAGATCAACAGCAGCAACAAGAACAACAGCAACCACAACAGCTGCAGCAGCAACCACAACAGCTGCAGCAACAAAATATAAGCACAGTCATCTCAACAATGGTAGTTACATCAACGACAAATCAGCAAGCATTACAACAGCCGCTTCTCTACAGCCAAACATTAAAAAATACCAAATCATCAAACACATTGCGCTGATGCAATTTTATGTACGTATGCATGTCCGTATCTGTACATATATGCACGTGCGTATTCATGTTTGTATATGTCAGTATTTGTGTTTGTTTGTAACTGTGCACTTACGCGTACATGAGTATGTGCACTAGGGTGGTTACAACGCTATATGTAAAAAAAAAATTTCGAAATCTTATCGGGGGAATCCCCTAAATTGTGCCACTTGACTAAAAAATGACATTTGTAAAGTTTTAGCTCAATTGGATAATGCTAACCCGTGCCTCATCGAGGTTGAAATTTTGAAAAATTGGAAAATTTTGAAAAAAACGCAGTTTTTGGTTTGTAAAATAAAAACGGTTCACTCTAGAAACATGATTTAAGTTTTATTTTGTTCATTGATTAGTTTTCTTCAAATGTTACTATGATCACTATTTAGCTACAAGTTATAGTTTCTGACATATTTGCATTGTTACAGATACACATTGAAAAAACGTTGAATTTCTCCATAACACAAAAACACACAATAACTTAATTTGTTTATAAAGAAATGTTTTTAAAATAACACCGTTGTATCTAAATCACTATTATTAACGAATAAACAAATTTTTATTCATATTATATTGTTTATAGTTGTTATACATCAAATAAATTTCTACTTTAACTCATTGTTCAAAAGGTAGGGGCTCGGATAGGATGCTTTTGAGCAACCAGGAAATTTTGTCCGACACTCAGCAATTACTTGTAAAAGATATTGTTTTTGATCTTCCTCTTTTGTAATACATGAGTCGTAATCTGTTATTAATTTAACACCCTTTTCTGCTGTATCATTTGTAACTTTTAATCCGTCCACAATCTTTTTACTCTTTAAATATTCTTCGTTATTACTCCATAATTCTGGATTGGTATGCAAAAGTTGATCATTAATATTAAATCTTTTTAAAAAAATTACTTGATTGTGATAAAATAAAATGGTCCGCATTTTTGTCCAATATTTCTGATACTTCATTTATTTTTATTAGTGGTTTCATATCACAGTAGTCATCAAGTTCTTCATCCTCATTTGTTGAGATATTAATTTTGTTGTCATTCTCTTTTTTACACAATTACTTAATGAATCATCGAATAATGAAAAAACAGCCTGCTCTGGATTGAGGTACTATATGTGGTTGATAAATTTTGAAACTGATATATCTGAGATAAATTTATTGACTTTATTGTAATTACCAAAGATTTTAACAATTGTAAATCTTGGTTTGGAGCAAGTGCAGGTTTCGGGGCATCCAACCACACTTTCACGTAAATATTTAAAATAAATAAGAAAATATCATGGAATCCTTGTTTTTCAAATATTGTCGGTTGAAATTGTTCTCTGAAAAAATATATTTTCAACGAATATATCGCTTTTGCCATCCACCTTGCGTGATGAAAAGCACCAGGAGCCGCAAACACGATGTTTTCTGACGGAAAGCGTTCTAAAAATATAAGACAAAGATTAATCAATTTTTTGTAATCGCTCCTTGGATGAGGAACTGTTAATTGTTCTAGAAGATAACTTGAAATTTGACCCGGATTAATCAATTTGCTGGCTACACTTTTATCTTTAACTCCTGATTTAAATTTTTTTTATCAATGTTGTTCCATTCAGTTTTAAATTTTTTGAAAATATCCGATTGAGGGCCTGTAGTCTTTCCCATCACAGCATCAAAAACGGATCTCAACACTATCTCCAAAATGTGGTGGCGACATGGAAGATACAAAAATTTTTTCTCCATCAATTGCTCTAATAAAACGCAAGCACCTTTGATGCGGCCAGTATTCACGGCAGTTGTGTCAAAGGACATTGCTTGAATCTTGTCTAGTGCACCCCACTTTCCAAGTTCTGAATAAACAGATTTTGCAATTGTACTGCCAGCACCATTTTCTAATTGGGGAACTCCAATTAACTATTCTTCTTCTTCACAGCAACTCTTTCAACATTTTCTTTATTTAACATATCCGGAAGTAATTTCCCATCCCAATGTACAACTGCTCCTTACCAAAAATGAGAAATCGTAGAAAACCAAAAGATCTTAATATTAATACATAAAAACAACATATAGCACCCGAGTTAGTAATAGTAAATAAGTTATTGTGTGTTTTTGTGTTATGGAGAAATTCAACGTTTTTTCAATGTGTATCTGTAACAATGCAAATATGTCAAAAACTATAACTTGAGCTAAATAGTGATCATAGTAACATTTGAAGAAAACTAATCAATGAACAAAATAAAACTTAAACCATGTTTCTAGAGTGAACCGTTTTTATTTTACAAACCAAAAACTGCGTTTTTTTTCAAAATTTTCCAATTTTTCGAAATTTCAACCTCGATGAGGCACGGGTTAGCATTATCGAATTGAGCTAAAACTTTACAGATGTCATTTTTTAGTCAAGTGGCACAATTTAGGGGGTTCCCCCGATATAATTTTGAAAAAAAATTTCTTGTGACCACCCTAATGTGCACTTACAAATAACAGAAACGCTGCATTTCATAGCATAAGTGTCACAATTGTATCTATCTCCATCTATGTTTGCATATTTTTACACACATAATATGTATGTTTTCATTCGAGTTAAAATAACCCAACACACATGCACAGCACATGTTGAGAATGATAAATATATATATATATATATATATATATATATATATATATATATATATATATATATATATTACTATATTACTAGGGTGAGATTACAACAATTTGAAAGAGAATTTCCGTTAAACATACGAATGACTTAATATGAGTTCATATTTTTTCTACCATGTTTTTTATTGCTCTACAGACCTCATCAATAGAACATAAATACAATTATTTAATTTGTAATAAATAATACAAAGAATAACAATAATGATAACATGCCATAGATAAACAAGTAAGCTTTTCAATCAACAAATAAAAAAATATAAATGCTGGGACGTGTTTCAGACATTAATAATATAATATTTGTTCCTCATTTGCTCGCTTGTTCCATCCATCCATTAGCTCATTCATTCGTTTATATAATTAATCAATCAGTCAGTCCAATGATTTAAGCTATTAATCCAAATAAAATAACAAAAGTAGTTAATCATGACCAAATAGATTTACAACAAAAAATTTTCACCACATCATCATCCTATCATCATCACCTCAGGCAAGCCATAAAATCATATCGTCATCATCGTAATCGCCAAACATCATTGTCATCTTTTATCAGTAAAGAAACTTCTGAGAACAATGATTTGCCCAATTCCGACCAACAAGATAACAGCAGCCTGACCCGCTGACCAATAGTGAACCCTTTCATTCAAATTCTCTGCAAACTCTTCACCCTATCAAAAAAAAAACAAAAAATATATTGAAATAAGCATTAAAATGAAATAAACATTAAGTATTCAGCAAATAAATTGTGTAACTTATTTGCATTTGAGCCTCATGTAACATCAAAGAGATCATGTATAACGTAGTTAAGAATTTATGAGTATTATGTGATTATAATACATACAATATATTCATCTGTAAATAAAATATGCACACATCCATCATACTTGTGCTTCTTTCAGTCTGTGATGTGTTTGATAATCAATGACACTTTTGAGGTTCTCATGTATGACTATGCTGGAAGATTCCATCTGAGAAATAATTCATTCAATTAATCTATTGTTGCTAATAATTTGAATATATATCCTTATTATTTATTCATTCATTGTTTCATTCCTTCATTATAATATAAGTTTTTTAAAATTATTTGTTCATGGTATCAATGTTTCATTCATTCATTCATTATAATGTGGATTATGGTTGAAATAATAATAGCAGAGCAGAATGAGCGAGAGACCTGAGTGAGAGCCTTGTGGTGGGTGGCTCCCTGGTCCAGAGCTTCTTTAATGGGGTCCTCATCAGATCCACACTTGTAATCAAAGTACACCAATTTGTGTATGAAGCTGGAGAACTCGTTACTGAAACAGAACCTGTTCTCTCCCTTCATGTGTGTGGTGAAGTGGAATGAATCATACTGACGCTTCACCTCTTTATACAAAGATCTCCCATCTGCTGATGTCAACTCCACGTCAACATCGTAATTTCCTCCGGTAATTACCTGGGTGTTTGTTGGCATGCGGTGTAATTTAATTTGCAAGTAATTTTTTTTTTAAGTAAAAGTAAATTCATGCATGTTCAATTTAATTTAATTAAAAAATTCTATTTCAAAACTCTGTTAAATTTCCAGCAGAAAAAATAGATCAACATCATACGATACCTGATACTCTAGCACACATTCAACTTTATCATTGGCCTCCTCGTAGAAACACATTTTCTCATTATCCGGCAGTTCAAATGTGAGTTCTTCACCGGTACAAAACGAAACGAAACAAATTAAAAAAATTATTATAAACATTTTAAATATGAAATAAATGAATAAACTTCTACAGCTAAAATTCCCTAATTTTATGTACCAAACGATCAGGAAATTTAACTTTAAATCTCCTTTTAACATTTGCAAAACGAACAAAAATACGTGGCTTAATTATGAAGCGCGTATTTTTGAAAATAATATCGCCTCCGTTATCAGTTTATCGGACCACATGGAATGCTCATCGGTTAAGTTTTGCATAAAAATCGCATGTTAGCATTAAAAGATCATGCATTATTTTTTCGCAAAATTGTGTTTTTCTGATATTTTATTTAAACTTTATTATAAATATTACCAAGAAAATCGCGAAAAATGTAAAAATCAATCAACCCATATGTCAAGAAACTTATGATGGAGTTCTAAGCCTCATTAAAAGTTAACTAGTTGAATGTGATACTATTAACAATTGAAATAACAACAGCATCAACAACAACAACAATAATAATAATAACGATAATATAAACAACAATAATAATAATCATGATGGTTTAAAATTTCATGTTGCCAAATGCCAACACACCAGCAAAAACTTTCCCAATCTTTCCCACTAACATGAAAAGACTCTGAGGGCAAGACATGAAAAGTTGACAAAATGAATGAACGTTCTTGAAAGAATTAAAAGTGCATCGAAGCGTAAACCAATCCGGCCGACCATAATCAAGAAACAACATTGTTCTTTCTGATACTTCATCTACTGAACTGTCTTTCTTACTTACTTTTTCCGGAGGTCACGGAGGTCAAAGGTCAATGAAGGCTCGACGCTTCGCTAGGCCGCGAAGATATCAAATCAACAAGTTGTTGTTTCTGTTATTGTTGATGTTGATGCTGTTGCTTTTGTTGTTGCTGCTGATGGTGTTGATCTCAACAGATTCATTGTTGCGGTTGATTTTTATGTGCATGCCTGCAAAAAGATGAAATTTTTGTTGTTCTTGCTAATGATGTTAACGATGATGACAATGATGATGACAATGTTCATGATGATGACGATGACGACGATGAAAAGAAGAAGACCTAATCGATATAAAACCTCAGTTGGTTGAGTTTTGCAAGACCTTTGCAGATTAAAAAGATCAATCAACGATATGTATCTCTACGTCTGTCTGTTCGTTCGTTTGTTTGTTCGTTCGTTTGTTAGTTTTTGTTTGTATGTTTGTTTATATTTTAACTGTATGCATTTATGTGTGTATGTGTGTGTGTGTGTGTTTATGCATTTGTGTATAGTTGTGTGCTTTCACACTTTTTGAAATTGGTTGGTTGGTATTTTTTTCTAAGAGCGTGTTTATAAATCGGCATTAGTTTCAAAATAAGTATCGGAATTAGTTTCCAAAATGAATATCGGTATCGGTATTGAGAATACATTTTAAAGCTGGTATCGTTATTGGTACTGGCGACATGAAGCTTGAGTATTGTGAACGTCTGTGGGTGTTCAGAAGTTTCTTGAACAAACAAACAAACAAAACAAACATTCTTATCTGCGTTCCATGCAAATTCTACCTTAGTTTCTGCCAACTTCATTCTTGTCCTGTTAACGAACGTATTCAAATGTTTAAATAGAATAAATAATCGAACTGAAACCGTCAATGAAACCAAGCAGGAGTACCGACAAAGGATACCGACCGACAAAGGATACCGACCGACACATACGGATAAGTAGTAGCTCCATACCGCATTACGGAGCGCTTAATAATACAAGAAGAATACTTGCTTGATTTCATTGATTAGAAGCGGCTATCTTAGTGATGTTAAGTCATGCCTGTAACACACACGTTCCTCTCTTTACAATGGAAACATGTGTTCTATATGTTGTGTACTGCATTGTACTGTACATGCAGGCAAGCATTACATGAGCATAACATGATCGCCTGTTTTAATTGACCAATGTTGATGATTTTGTTGTTGTTAATAATGATGATGGTAATGTTGTTGTTGTTGTTGTTGATGATGATGATGATGTAGATGATGATGACAGTACAGTAGTGAGGACGATGGTACATAGGCATACATCTTCTGAATAACTTGTTTTGAATGTTAAACCTCATTGAAACAAAATCAAAGCAAACACAATAAAACACACATGCATGCATGCATACATACATGCAGACATGCATACATACATATATGCAGACATGCATACATACATACATGCATGCATGCATACATACATACATACATACATACATACATATATACAAAAAACACATAAAAACAAACAAACGAACGAACGAAAGAACATACACCCGTACTTATCCAAGTCTGGTAACAATAGATTTGATGAATGCAATTTCTGAGCGCTATCAGCGTCCCGTGAAAACATCACTACATGATTTCTTCTTCAACATCATCCTCCTCCTCCTCATCTTCATCATCATCAGCCACATCTTCAGCATCATCATCTTCATCATCATCATCGTCATTTTTACCAAAGATATAAGCACCCCCATGTTCAACATCAGTTCTATGACACCATCACTATGGTTATCATCACCACTACCATCAATATCAACTACAACAACAACATCATCATCAACAACAACATCATCAACAACAACATCATCAACAACAACATCATCATCATCAACTACAGCAACAACAACATCATCAACAACAACGACAACAACAACATCATCATCATCAACAACAACAGCATCAACATCATCATCATCAACAACAACAACAACATCATCAACAACAACAACATCAACATTGTCACAAATGACCTCTCGAATATTAAGAACTCCTCATATTTCGACGTACCGTTGTCTGCCCGGCTTTATGATGTTGTTGTTGTTTTTGATGATGATGATGTTGTTGTTGATGATGATGTAGTTGTTGTTGATGTTGTTGTTGATGATGTTTTTTTACGAATGATGTTCTGAAATCGTCATTAAGAACAACCACATCGTCGGCATCAGCAACTAAAACAACATCAACATCAACAACAACAACATCAACAGCATGACATCAAGCAGTAAACATGTCCTTTAAGTTGTTTAAACAAACAAATTTTTTCATCTTCTCGGAAGGGACGATTTTTATTATTACTTCAATCTATTATTATTATTATTGTTATTATCATTATTATTATAATTATTATTATTATTGTTGTTGTCATTGTTATTATTATTATTATTACTGTTGTTGTTATTATTGATGAAAAGATGATGATAGCTTGTGACTCTCTTGAGACGTGTTTCCCGACTGATTGTCACGCCGTCCCCTCCCTTTTTCTCTCTTTCTCTCTTTTTTTCTCTCTCTCTATCTCTTTCTCTCTTTCTTTCTCTATTTTTTTTTCTTTATCTCTCTCTCTCTCTCTTCTTGCAACAACATCTTTTTTTAGTTTTCTTACATTTCTTCTTTTGTTTAATATAATTTGTTAGAATCTTCAGCCACCTCACTCACACTATCGCCACAGTTGGTTCTTATCATCATCATCATCATCATTGCTTCCAACGCCATCGTCATCATCATCGCCATCATCATCATCAACATCATTATCATCATCATCATCAACATCATCATCATCATCATCACCATCATCATCATCATCATGACGCGGTCATCGTATGGTCACGTGATATAATTAATAAAAAAAAACTGACCGAGTCCGCCACTAATCCTATCTTTATTCTTCCCCTCATCGCCTTCTTATTGTTGTTGTTATTATTGTTGTGGTTTTGGTTTGTTGCTGTTATGGTTTGTTGTTTTTGTGGTTATGGTTTGCTGTTGTTGTTATGGTTTGTTATTGTTTTTATTGTTGTAAATTTTTTTATCATCATCAACCGTTCATTCATTGGTTAGATTGATGTATATGTGTTTATCACTTTTTTCTCTCTCTCTTTCTCTCTATCTCTTTCTCTCTCTCTCTCTCTTTACCTGTCTGCCTGTCTGTCGTCTCGGTTTCTCTTTCTATCTCTTTTTTGTTTTTAATTCTTCTTTTCTTTCGTTCTTGTCTTCCGACTTTTTAAATATTGACTCGTGCTTTTTGTAAAAGGTTTTCATAAAAATAATAAACAAATAAAAAAATATCGAAAACAGTATTTTATCTGTTCAATAACTAAATAATTAAATAAATAATTAATTAATTAACTCGTTCATTCATTCATTCATTAATTCATTAATTCATTCATTCATTCATTCTTTCATTCATTCATTCATTCACTCATTCATTCATTCTCAATCTCTTCTGACTGGTCCATCTAATTTTTGTTCGATGACTCTAATGTGTTTGTATGTTTACTGGGACGAAAATGATGATGACGATGGTGGTGGTGTTGGTGATACTCTTAATGCTTTCGCTGCCTCACACTTTTGAAATTGTAACCAGCATTGTTTCATTTCGTTATTTATTTTATTATTATTATTATTTTTGTTGTTGTTGTTGTTAATATTATTAATATTGTTGTTGTTGTTGTTTTTGTTGTTGTTTTTGTTGTTGATGTTTTTGTTATTATTGTTGTTGCTGTTTGTTATCATGGAATCTTCACTTACGATATATTGCTCACGAGGGGATATATTTATCAGATTGAGGCATAATATACACACATATACACGTCTCATACATACATACATGCACACACACACACATGCATACATACATACACACATACATACATACATACATACACACATACATACATACATACATACACACATACATACATACATACATACATACATACATACATACATACATACATACATACATACATACATACATACATACATACACACATAACGTATATATTGCATTTATATACTTATCGAGTACGTGTTGAATTGGAACATGAACATCTTGAGATCATCACGATAACGACGATGATGATGATGTTTTTGTTGTTTGTTGTTGATGATGATGATGATGATGATGGCACACTAAATAACTTATTATAATTCAACCGCAACGATAACTAAATCAACCTCCCCCTTCCTCACCACCACCATCGCAATCGTGATCATCATCATACCCACATTCACCACCATCATCA